ATAGGAAATGCCTATTTTGTTCCTTGCGTTCCTATCATGCCGTTTTGAAATATGAGCATGAATTAGAGGTTAAGAAAGGCTTTTATGGTGTTTTTATAGTGCCTATAAATGCCTATTCTGGGTGTTTTTTTTGCCCAAATGCCTATAAGTGCCTACAAATGCCTATTTTCAAAATGAGCACGTATATGAGCGCCATTCAAGCTCTAATTTTATTTTCGAGCTTGGTGTCAAACCGTTATTTATGTAAAAAAGGCAGCATTGATATTTCCAAACACTATGAGGTTCAGCGAAGACAAAGCTAACATGCTGAGAGCGATTGGAGGAGGAGCATCAGGAGTGCAAAATACGCTATTTCTGCAGCCATAAGTGGAAGAATGCTTCAGCGTCTGCAGGAAAAGGAGAGAGAATTAAAGATGGGCTAAGAAAATAAAAAGTGACGTCTATGGCCGTGGACGTGGCTACCACCTTCTACAAATTGCCGTCCAATGCCCTGAAGAAACTGAAGAACCCCCCTGAAAACCTGTGTGTTGCGGTGGGAAAGGAAGAGCAGGTTTTACTGGGCAGCCGCGAGTAGCTGGAGAAGGAATGAAAAACCATGGAAGACCACTCATGGAATGCTCTTGTTGATTCAGTGGTGGCGAAGGTCGCAAAATCGTCATACTTTATACAGCGAAGCCTGAGACAGGCGCCGGCATGTTTACAATCAGCGGTGTACTTAGCATACATTCACCGTATGCTTGAATATGCTTGTTCCGTATGAGATCCCTTGTCATATGACTTTAAGTGACAAACATTAAAAAATACAGAACAGCGCTTGAAAAATGACAACTGTAACAATATAAAAAAATAACTAGGTGAGAATTACTACCATAGCATCAAATTAAACTACGGTTAAAGCTCCTGTGTCACGCATTTCATGCTAAGCTCACATTCAAAAATGAATGTACCTAAACAGTCCTCTTCGTCCAATGGCAATTAGGATTTTAAAATGTCTTATCAGATATAATTTTTTTAATAATTCATTTTTTGTTAGTTGCATGATGGAATGAAATGTCTTATAAAAAGAACAAAGTGTGTTGTGTCAATGAAGGCGTGTTTTCTTTGACAATGTAACTTATCTGCTGCAGCGCCTTCAGGTAAAAAATGTGATGCGCACGCGGCTTTTGTTTTGTTTGTAATTTACTTGTTAAGCGTCTCCCTCTAGGTGACATAATAAGTTGTAGTCAGACACTAGAAGTTCTTGCGTGCCCAATGAAAAGCGTTCTACCATGGTTATTTTTCAAATTGGTTCGCTACGAGCCACCACAGCATGATGCGAAGAAGCAAACTTGAATCCCTCGCCTCTCGTCCCATGTAGTCATCGTGAGCCTTATTCCTTCCCTGTTTTCTTCGGTATCGGGGCTGGAGAATCACATGACGCATGAGGTGACGCACGCATGACGTGCCCCAGCATACTTGTGCGCGTACGCTATCGATGTTGTGTCGATTCGGCGCTCTCTGTTGTGTATCCGTCAGTGCGTGTACTTTAAGAGAGGCTGGCAAGAATCATGTACCGTGATCGCGATACACCACATCACTTCGCTGAAACAGAGGTCAGAGACGATGCACCAAACATAAGCTAAGCGCTGTGAGGGTTGGCGAAGGCCCGATGCAGGAACGACAAGTAGACAAACGCAAGGGAAATGGGGTAGTAGTAGTAGTAGTAGTAGTAGTAGTAGTAGTAGTAGTAGTAGTAGTAGTAATAGCAGTTGTAGTATGTGGGGTTTTATGTATAAAAACCACGATATGATTATGAGGGACGCTGTAGTGGAGGTCTCCACAAATTTTGACTAACTGGTGTTCTTTAACGTGCACCGACATTGCACAGCACACAGGCATCTACTTTTTCGCATCCTTTTATATGTGACCGTCGCAGCTACAATCGAACTCGCAGCATTCAGGTCAGCAGCGGAGCACCCTATAGCGACTGGTCCACTAAGGCGGACGCTAAATGAGGGCCGATTAGTGAATTGCATCTCTAGGCTATTCAAAACAAAAATATTAACAAGCTGAGATTCCATTTGCATGTTTTATTATTTTCCTCAGCGTTCATTCATTATACTTATTTTGAAAGGGCAGTGCAAAGACATGGGGAAAAGAAAGACATAGAGACAAAGAGTGCTGTTTTCTTTTTCCCTTAGTTTTTGCACTTCCCTTTCAAATTGATATGAAGCAGCTAGCCAAAATCAAACTACTTCTCACTCATGCTACTAACAGAACACACAAATTGCACATGCCAAGTAGAATAATGTCACGTGCAACACTCTTAATGAGGTACCGTTTAAAATACAGAATATATTCAGGAGACGGAACATTTTTCGTCTGTTCTTATAAATACAGATAGTATTTAACGAAGTTCTGATGAAGAATGTACAGCATGTGACGTCAGCCCACCAATGTCAACGTAAAGGAGCGACGTAAAAACAGGACCATTCTGTGCTGTACAATACTCCCTAGATCTTGGGAGCGCACGCCCATAAAAAGGGCAAGTGGCATTCATTAGAAATCGAGTGCTTTTCTGCGACATGTAATTTTTCAAATCTTAATGTAAATTATCCGAAATGTCCATTGCACAATTACGCTTGTCGGCTCGAAATGGTCAAACCTAATGAGACGTCCTTTAGTGTGTTCACCAATAGAAAATAAATTGGTCCTACGCGATCAGACCTAGCATGCCTATCTTGTGGGGTATTAGTGGTCTGGTTATTTGCTTCTGCACTGCCCTTCCCAGCCACAACAAAACAAGAGAGACCCATGAGAGTGTTAATTGAACGGTGGACATTTGACGCACAATGCTAGACAATAAAACAAAAGACCACATACTGCGTATCGCGCGGGAAATGCTTGCCTATGTTCAATCGTTGGTACCTTTCTATCATAAACATCATTTTTTTTTTGCTTCTTGCCGTAGATACAAGTCACCAACGTTGTTGTTTTGGGATATTTCAATTTTTGTATAAATTTATTGTCCCTATAATTATGACATTGAGGGCCTAAAATGGTGTTTTATCTGCCTGTATTTGGCACTTAAAAACACACTTTTTTAGTGCCTAGAAATCCGGCCTGTAGTGATCACTGTTTTTTGTGCCCGAAGTGATAGCAGACCGGAACTAAATGACACAACCGTTACTAGCATATGTCAGGAGTGGCCCGTCGTTTGCTTGCTCTAATGTCGAAATCTGTGGCTTCAGTGCTTGTTGAAATGGTCTCTGGATTATTATCACCATCCTGATCAAGGTTCCTCAAGAATTTCCTCCCGACTACTATGCGGGACACCTGATTCTTGTGCAGTTGACCCTGCAAATGGCAAGGGTTGTGACATGTGCTCTGTAACTTCCTCCCCAAAGACACCTGATTCTGATGCAGTTGGTCCTGCAACTGGCAAGAGTTGTGACATTTGTTCTGTAATTACTTGTCCAATTGTCTCCGAAAGGTGCAAAAAGGTTCGCTCGATGTCTTTGGCATGGCCTTCTCAACAGTGGCAGCCACCATATCACTTAAAGATGAGTCCATGGCTTGTGAATGCTTAGCAGCAGCTTCAGCGTATTAGTACATCTTTCAAATATGGGAGCTCTAATATGGAAGCGGGAGCATCACTTTCTTTCAATAGTTTCTAAAATTTAAGGATCTTGAGCTCTAGCCATGCAGTTTGCGTGATCGGCCGGGTGGGAACCTTGATAAAGGCAGCATCTTTCACCCTGAGAAGTACATTTCTTGGCGGTATGGTTTTCTCCGCATACCCGGCACCGAGGAGTTGAGCGGCATCCCTTAATTGAGTGACCATAACGCCAAGACTGAACACATTGCAATGAACGGGGAGCAAGTGCTTCAACTTTATATATTAAAAGCCATGGCTTAATTTCTGTGGGCATATCTATCCATGCAAATGTCACAATGACTGACTTGGTGGGAAGTTTTACATTTTGAGAGACTCGTAAGCAGCGGTACACTGATATGGCCCCGGCAGTGGAAAACAATTCCAAAACCTCTGAAGCGCACAGACTTGAGTCAACTCCACGAACTAAACCTTTAACGCCCGCGAGATGGGCAGGAATAAATGGACTCACCGAATGTGAGGCGAAGGTAGAGCACTTCAACAGGTCGGATAAACAGGCCTGGTCTAAAGAGCAACAAAGAATTCCGCCTCTCCCGAACTGTCGGACATCGGTGATTTGCTGGTAGTGAGAGGTCGCTTTCCGCAGTTCCTCCTTAATTACCCTTGGGTTCTTCATGCGGATTGTTCCCCCGTTGGTTGGCACTAGCGCAACTGGAACACTGTGGAGACCGCTGTGCAAAAAGGCTTCTATAGGCATGTCATTAGTTGTAAGAGAGGCCATCCAGAGAAAAGACCTCTGGCCAGGAGATGAAATAGACATAATGTACTCACAGTTCAAGAAGACCAGAAAGTTGTGAAAAATCAAACAAACTCCTAAAAATACTGCCGCCCGCCCCGACATTAAGACCCCATAAAGAGATTGCGCCCAACCACCAGTGCAAGAACCGTGGGATCTTCACCTATGACGAACTTCTTGCTTGCAGGAAAATGAACGTCGCAGAGCAGATGCAGAACGAGCCGTGAAAAACCCAGTGGTCATTCTTGCCTTTGTCTTCCTCTCGTTCGCCGAGCCTGAGCCAGTGCCTAAGCGCCGCTTTTTACCATTACAATATTGCATAAAAAATCATTGTAAATATATATATATATATATGTGTGTGTGTGTGTGTGTGTGTGTGCGTGTGTGTGTGTGTAATACATACATCTTTTTACAATAACTTTTTATGCTATGTTTATATGCAACATGATGAATGTCTGTGCACGCTTGGAAGTTTACTTCATAAGAAACAGCTGGTTCCTTTCCGTCAGTCTCCCCCCACTCTCTCTCACACACACACACATTTTCACAAGGCACAATGTGTAAAGCAAGCTTACAGCCTTCCAACATTCACCTACAACCTCATATCACCTGCACGATATGTGAAATGCTGTCCAGCCATCCTTATTTCGTAGTCGCGTGTTGGCACCGCCTGCGACCAGGGCCTGGACCACCTGCAAGTCGTCCTTCGTGCAGGCCAACATAAGCGGCGTCCTGCGAGCCCACGAAAAGCGCGGTTTTTACGCAGCGCAACGTGACGACTGACGCGGAAGTAACATGCGAATTTAAAGGCATATATGAGGAAGGTGGACATGTCTGGAAAACAGCACATGCGTTAAATAAAACTCAATGTATACGCGCGTCTGCCTCAGCATTAGACTGGTCTAGGATGACAATCAATCCTCACCAGTCGGCCCTTTTTAGAGGATCTATCTGGCATCCTTGATCAATAAGAAACTGCACGATGTCGAGTCGAGACAGCTGGGCAGCTTCGTGTAACGGCCTCTTGCCGTCGCGGTTCTGGCTCTCGAGGAGACACTTGACTTCTTCGCAGAGGAATCTGCAACAGCATGAGCGATTCAAGTTGGTCGCGCCATCGCTCCTCGTCTCGGTCGACTCTCACCGGAGAATGTTCAGAGAACCGCATCTACATGCAATATGAGCCAACGTGTCGCCACACTTTCCATGAGTGATCGTTCGCAAGCACAGAGCGGCCTGCTCGACATTGTTGGCGTATTCTTTGCCGAGAACAAGCCTCACGCCATCCACGCGATCACGCTGCACGTGCCCGATAAGCTCTTGTTTTGCCTCATGAAAACTGCGGTACACCATAACGCAAGACTCGGCCAGAGCAGACTCCTGGACCTGGAACCACGGAGAACCTTCTTCCATGCCTGGAACTTTCACAGCTTGCGCCACAGAACACCTACCAGGTTCGCGCCTTTCACTAGAGCACAGCCTCCCAGATTTTTCTAACCAGCCGAATGAGCGCGAAACGCCGGTCATCTATGGCGGCGCTGCCTACGTAGGAATAAGGTCTTTGTAGTCAGCCTTTGAGATCGGCAATATTAGCGTTTGTTACTAATTTCAAAGGATGCTTTGTATTAAAAAAGTTGCTTGTTGAATGATGGCGTCACTTAAATAAAGTTAATTATAATTACTTTTACGCCTTTTTAGAACTTTTTCACATTATTTTTGTTGTATATAAGCTTCAAAAACGTAATAACCTATTTGAAGACACCACCTACTTGAGTGGCGCCACCACCGTAGTTCCGACGACCGCCGCTTCCCAAGTGACCGCCGATAATCCGGCAGGCACAAGAGATCTAGGAGGCGTTGGCACAGCACAGCCTCCCAGATTTCCTTACCCTGCCAAATGAGCGCGAAACGCCCGTCATCTATGGCGGCGCTACCTACGTAGGAATAAAAGCTTTTGTACTCAGCCTTTGAGATTAGCAGTTTTAGTGTTGGCTAACTACGGAGGCTATGCCTTGTATTGAAAGGGCTGCCTGTTGAATGAGCGCAAAACGCCTGTCATTTATAACGGCGTCACTTACGCAGAATAATTATAATTACGTTTACAATTTTTTTTAACTTTTTTACATTATTTTGTTGCAATTAGCTCCAAAAACCTAAAAATTTATTTAAAGACACCCTACTTAAGTAGCGCCACTATTATAGTTTTGACGACGGCACTGCTCTGCGCGCTCTATTTCTCCGAATGACCACGTAGTGACGTCAGGTTATTACCAGGCACCGCGCCGTGCTCCCGACCGGGTTGCAGAAATTAGGTGCCTTTTCTCATCTTCTAACCACTATCACCACCACCACCACCAGGTTATTACCCTCTCGTGTGGCCTTTCTTTGCTTGACTGCCATGTGTGTATGCGGCGCAGCCACTGGCTTTTTCCAATTTTATGCGAATACTTTCCTTCGTATTCAATAATTTCGCATTCGTGCGTTTGTTTTGATAACGTATTAAGAAAAAAACGCGGCGTATGGGGTCTTATTTTTTGTTTGCAAGCACTCGCAGGAGTGCTTTGCCGAATATCGATCCCGATCGAAATACCAAGTGGAATTCACAGGTAGAAATAATGAAACAAGGCATAGCAATTTTATATGCACAAAAGACAAAAATAAAAATAAATGAGTCGGCAATAGTTAAGAAACAATCGGTTGAACTGAAACCACTCGTCAGTCCTACGTTGAAGGTGCGCGCGTGTCGTGCAAGCTTTTTTTAATGCTTCAAAATCTTCCGTGACAACGGCTTCCTTTGATGAAGCCTGGCCACTTTTTTTTTTTATCGGTGAAGTCGACAGAATAGTTTGTGAACAGCAGCTTTATGAGCTTTCTGCACACAAGTTCTATTAATTTGCGCCTTTGAATTTAGTCACAACGGTCACACAGCGGTACTGGCAGGCCAACAATTACATTCGCACTCTTCACGACACAGGTCTGTAGAGGCTTAAGGAGAGCTGCGCGGTGCAGAAGCAGCACGTCCACAAATCTTTTCAGGGCATGCAGCACACGTACGAACTCTGCAGTGGAGTAGCACAAGCCACCTCTGTCCTGGTGGGAAATCAAGAGAGAGAGCATAAAACATTTATTTGCGACCGAGGAAAGAGTGTCGGTGAGTGGGCTCCTTAGTCCGGGATTCTATTGGCACGGGCCGCTGTCCTAGGACAGCGGCCCGGGCCAATGGAATTGTGTGGGCATTCCCATACCATATGGTACAGAGTAGCTGTTTTAGTGACGCAGAACCTGCATTGTGGTGCGTATGTGTCGGGATCTATCTTGGAAAGTATGTATGGATTGGGATAAGAAAAGGTCTGCAGGCGACGTCACGCCACGCTACCTGAGATTCTTTACAGAGCTTTGGCCCCAGGGGTGGAAGTTTCCGTCTTTCAAGTCTTTGGTGTTCTAGAATATCTGTGTATGTTAGGAACGGGTCCATACGCATAACCGAGGGTGGGTGCGATATGCCGGGGAAATCAAGCCGTCCGTAGCACTGGTGCTGCTCACTTTGGCCTTCAAGAACGACACGCAGCGCTCGCGTTCAGTCTTCACTGACGACACGAGATATGTATCCTGCGATGAGAAAAACAGCTGCTATATCTGGCGTGGACATAAACGGCTTCGTCGAAGTGCAGAGTTCCTGCAGTAGGTGCTGCGCTGAGTTCACTGCTGTGGCCGCGCTTGTTGTTGATGTGCTGCTTGACTCGCCGCTCCTTGTAATGCTCCACGAGGAAGTGAACGAAGCTGAGCTCTGCACATTGTTTGTGTGGGAAGCCGCAACGATGACCGTCTTCAGCATCTTCTCAAGGCCCGAAAGAGCGCTTCTGACATCAAGCATATCATTGCAGCCAGCGCTGCGTCGAAGCGTCCCAAACAGGGATTGGATGGGGTCGCTTGAAAACTTTCTAGACAAAAATTTGAATCCTTAATCTAACAGAAATTTGATACACTGGACGTTGGCGACTGTGTTGAATACCAGTGCATGGTGAGTTTCTTTCGTAAGAAAGTTCATTGGTGCGCTTGCCATCTTGAGCTCTTCAATGTATCCTAAAAAAAAAAGAAGTTGCAGCCAATGAAGTCTGGAGTCCTCAGGATCATCAAACTGCCTCGTGTCCGGATGGTTCTGGTGAATATGCTGCTAGCAGTTGCGGACGTCCATGAGAGTAAACCATCTGCTCACATTATTCATGAACACGACAGTTGGGCCGACGCTGGCGAACTTTGCATCACACGTACGTGCCCGGCATGATCTTTCATGAAAATTCATGTGCAAACAATCCGTGCGTCTCTCAAGCATGTAATTTTTTGGCATAAATGAATGAAATGTGTAAAGGAACGTACCCAGTGAATTTTATTGAGATCCATTGACCTAGAAAAAATTGCCGGAGTTGCCTTTTAAGAGCACAGCACTAGTTTCAGGTTTTTGCTCAGATAAGTGTTCAGTCACACACTGCGCATTCCTACTGTGAAACTGCGCAAGGTGATGGCAATTATGCTGAAGAATTTCACCCGTGTCAAAGCAGCAGTGGGCTCTTCACAGGAAGGACCCAATTTCTTAATTGACTCGACTACCTGTTGCCACCAATTAAAGAGTTAGTTTATTCTTTAAGTAGTCATAATCATTGCTTTCAGTATTCTACAATGTTTTCTACTACACAAAGAGTAATCAGTAAGGCAGCAATTATGTACTATATTTCTCCAATTTTAAAGCCAGAAACTTTTCTTGAAGCATCTTGAACACCGTGCTGATTGGGTGGTGCCACCAAATTCGCAGGCCCTAAAAAGCCTTTTGTAGGCTTCCTCTGTGCGCAAGGACATTCAGCACAAAGTGTTGAACTTTGCAAATGTTTAGAACATATCTTAATTTACTTCCAAAGTTTGCCTAAATGTTCATTATCACGATTGAAAGCCCTCGCTAGTGCGACTGTTACTGACGTCACTGTGTAGGAAGTGTAACAAAAAATTTTAGTGATGCGTCACCACATTACAGTAACATGCAATGAATAGTGACTGACCAACAGCTCTGTTGCACCAGGCAACCAATAGGCTAACATACTAATTTTTCTCAGCGTGTTGGCGAACTTAGCCAAACTTGCTAGCATTTTAGAAAGAGCTTCGCATCGTCATGCAAACCTTTGAAGGCAACGTTAGTGAATTTCACTTTGTTTACACATCTTGGCTTAAGCATACTGGGTTACCGTAACTGTAAATGTGAGACCAGATTGGTGAGACCAATTTGCGTCACTAAGATATATCGGGGCAGCAAAGAACTATTGTTGCAGATATCTGGCAGAATCTAATAGGGCTTGCAACTGTCCGCCAAACCGGCTATCCGAATAAACCGGAGAAAAGTGAACCCGGCCTTAAAAGCCAGTTATCCGAATTTAAAGCAACGGAAATTCTGCTTATCCAGTTTGAATGAACGTGCATCCGGTTATTCGAATATTCGGAAACGAATCTTTAGCCTCGCTAAAAGCTTATCCGAAATTTAAGTGCTATTAGATACGCACCGACACAACGTGCGCAGCTCGTTAATTCATTACTGATGTAATCACTAATGGCCCATGCAAAGTCTTCCCATTTCTCAACTGTGCATGTACTTTCGAACCTTGCGGATATTTATATTGTTACGGTTAAAGTCGAAGGGTGTTTATTAGCAGGGCGAGGTTGGTTGATTGATTGATATGTGTGGTTTAACGTTCCAAAACCACTTCATGATTATGAGAGACGCCGTGGTGGATAGCTCCGAAAATTTAGAACACCTGGGGTTGTTTAACGTGCATCCCCCAAAAAAATGAGCACACGGGCCTACAACATTTCCCCCTCCATCGGAAATGCAGCCGCCGCAGCCAAGATACGAACCAGGGCGAGGTTGATGGTCAGGTAATAATGGCGTCGGTATCTGCACCAGTTCACGTCTTCTTCCTCTTCTCTCCTCTCGGCTCATACCCGTTGAATTTGCCGGCTCTTAGACGAAGCCCACAGGGCGAGTATGAATGTCTCAAAATGTTTAGGGTGAAACCATATAAAGTGAGCGACATGTACCAGCTGGGTCGGTTTGACCGACGGCCAGCTGATGTCAGCCGTGCTACCACGTATGTCGAATCACTCAAGCGATCAACAATGACGAATGGGCCACTGTACTGGGGTAAAAACTTCTAGCACAGGCCTCGTTTACGTTGTGGCGTCCAAAAACACACAAAGTCACCTTTGCAGTATGCGACAGACTGATGGCGGCTGTCATAACTTTCCTTCGATCGGTGTTGCAAAGCCACAGTATGAAGAATACGAGCAATACGCCGGGCTTCTTCGGCTAGGCAGAGTGTCTTGGAGACAGAGTAGTCGCTATGGAAGCCAAATGGTAGAATAGTATCGATGCAGCTTAACGGTGAACATGCGCAAAGGAGGTAAAAATGACTGTAATTGATTGTTTGATGTATGGCCATGT